GGGGGGGTGGGGGGTGGGGGTGTAATAACAAAGTGAAAGAGAGCAAAAATTGTCATGAACCGTTCGCATGAGCAAGTGGATTTTAATTAATTACAAAAAAAAAGAGAAAAAAAATGAACAAAAATTGGATAGAAAAAAGTATAACGATCTTTAAAATAATTACAAAAGTTTTGTATTTCGTTAATGACTAATTTCTTCCCCTTTTGCGGTTAAAATTAATGTAATTTGTTGAGGACTCTGCAATGGCTGTTACAGTTAATCACTAGATTGAATTTATTTATTTATTACAGACTCTACGTGTTTTTTTTTCTTCTCATTAATTATCTTTCTTCGAATAACTATTACAAGAAAGTGAGTATGTCTGAGATAATAATTTAACAATTGAGTGGAGTAATCGGAGTGGGAGGTAGAGATGGAGATAATTTATCAACAAACGATGAATAATTATTCATCAACTACTCCACTCAATGAAAAAATCATTCAATTAGTCATTTATCGTCTCTCCCTTCATATTTATCTCCATTTACTGATTTTTAGTTTGTGCAATGACACTATTTGTCTTTATGTACAGAAAAATCTCACAAAAATCTCATTTTGTTTTAGTTTTGTCTCATGATTCATCGTATTTCAATCATCTTTATCAGATATTTAACTTTAAACCGTTAATTACTAGCCTAGTCTAGCGAGGATTATAGTAAAACATAACGAACGCCATTAACTAATCCCCTAACATCTTCATATTTGGCTATTTCACACGACTTGAATTATTTTTAAACTTTTATTCCAGTTTTTATCGTCTCGTGCACTTTCTTTCCCACCAAAATAATCCAAAAATCCATGGAAAATGCTCGAAATATCATCTCACCTCTCCAATTCCTCCCAGAATCGCCAATGATGCACCAAAAAATGAATCCCAGTCCCAAAATTATTACTCTCACTACCAAAATGGCAAATCACTTGTATGCAATTCAAAAAGAAAGTTCATTTACCGAATATTTCAGAATCTACCAGAGATAGAAAAATTTCCATAAGAACTTCTTTGTGGGTCTTGAAATTCTCTACAAAAAAAGTTATTACAAAAAATACATTATCTCTCCTAGACTCCGAGATAATGCGGGTTTTCTTGGTGCATCAGAATGGTCTTTCGTGTGCGTTTGACGTTTCTCACTCTCGTGTGCGCAATTAATTCCAAAAAAAATATATATATGTATGTAAGAAATTGTCATACGAGATTCAATCGCTATATCCTACACCCTAACTTAAACGAACTGTTTTTGTTAAAAAAAGAGAGAGAACAATGTCATGTATCGCCTTAACTTAGTGGTAAATAAATAAGTTAATCGTCGATTTCTTTCAATTTTTTTTTTCAATTTCAGATGGACTTAAATTTACGAGTTGTACGTACGTTCATCAGTTGGCATGTACGTCTAGAGAAATCGCCACAAAACTCATTCTAATCTCACACTCGACGTTCCTCAATTCAATCAACTGAATTTTTTCTTCCATAAATTATATAGTATTCATATTATAGTAAACTATGAGTTAAAAACGCGTTTGATTGTGTCCAGTAATTGTTTTTCTGTGTGACTAGACCCTGTTTTTACCAGAATCCAATTGAAAATTATGAAAAACACTTTAGACTTATCAAGAATCCCTCAAACCGTGGCAAAGAGTTAAAACAGTCAACTCTAGTGAGATTTTCCACAAATACCTCGTAACCTACGAGAGATGGAAAGTAATCGTAAGGAACTTTTTTATAGCCAACAAAATTTCCCACAAAAAAGTTCCTTCAAAAATTCCTCCACCTTCCCTGCATTCGTGTCTACAGGCCATTTTATCCCTTCGGCAATTCTCCAGTCGATAAAAATCATTGATTTATCGATGGAAAAACGATTATCGAGGGAAAACAATAAATTCTAAAATGTTATATTTCACTTTAATGGTTTAAAGTTAACTGTTTTGGTTCGTAGAACGACCTACACACATATTTGGCATAGAAACCTATCCAACGCACGTATTCCTAATTATTCTAGCTACCTAATTGTTATTTTAGGGGAGAAAAACTGATTAATTCCGACACCACCACGAGTGTCTCATCGTGAGTCAATCAATTTCACCCGCATTGTGGAGAAATAATTTTAACGATTAAAAAGCGAATATTCCAGTGATACTCGATATACAACTATATTACAATTTGGCGAATGATCCCAGGGTGAATGTGGATGCTTCTCGGGGAGCTTCAGGAGGTTTGTGCGAATCTACAGAGTCCCAGGAACTTGACGAGACCCCAGGGGCTGGGAAGAGGAAGGGACCAGGAGATTCTGTGGGATTCGGTGGGCGAGGGGTCCATCAGCTCGTGGGAATGAAATGATGGGCTTCTGGGGGCTCTAGTCATGATCTCCGAGGCTTTAATAGGGGGTGAACCTGTTGTAACCACCTCTGTACACCGTCGCCTGTAAATAAATAATTAATTAATCGGTATTAGTGGTTGAGATTAAATTATTAATGTTCAATTATTGAGGGGACAAAATGGAGAATTAAAAAATTTTGACACTCACCCCATAGTTTGTCATCGGTCCGATGCTGTGTCCGAGGTAGGGGTCGGCATACTCCCGTCCATATCTGTGAAAAAAAACCAAGAAAATGAGAAAATCTTCCCGAAATTCACACGCGCCTTTCTGTCACAGGATAAATCGTGCATGAAGGAAAAATAATGATTAAGGACAGGTGGAAGGTGAATACAAACACAGGTATCAGGATTCAGGTGCGGGGGTATCAGAATCGTCGTGTTTACGGCTACGAATGGCGCGACCAGGTTTCTTCCTGGAAAAATGGATTAACCGAAAGAAAAATCAGAATCACTCAAGCAAAAAATTAAAATCTCTGTAGCAATTGATTAATTTTTTAAGTTAAATAATATCTGAAGTCAGTCGTCCAGTAAAATCTACCGGACGATGGCGTTGGCCTGGAAAATTCTTATCAGACAATTGATAATGAAGAGGTAATGGTTGAAAATTACCCAGTGACTGCTGCATATCCAGCGACTGGTTGAGCTGCACCGTAGGCCGCCCTTGCCGCAACTGCTGTGTACGTGGCAGCTGCGGCATACGTCGCCTGTTGTGCCGTTGACAGGGGTGTCTTCAGGAGTGGTGATGCTGCGGCTGCTGCTGCTGCTGCCTGTAACAATCATACAAGCACATGCAAGCTCTCAAGCAAGGCTCGGAAGTACCAAAATCTAATCTCGCGATTTGGGGTGTCAAAGGTTTTATTTTTATTCATGAGGATTCTCTGTTGCTTAATTTCCCTCCTCGGGGGTGAGCATTTCCTCTCAGCGGATTTGTCTGATCACCGCTGGACATACTATTCGGTCCCGGAGAATTTTTCCACTGTTTCTGAATTTTTTTTTTTTGGGAAAAGTCATTTTGCACACCGAAAATTCGGGAAAAATTCTCTGGAAGCGGGTGATAACCGGGTGACAGTGAGAGATGCGATAATAACGTGATGGAGGTGCTTGAGACGAGTTTTTGAAAAAATAATGAGCGATTCCGGGATTAATTGGACAGTTCATGCGGAATGGGAGGAGAGGTGATGGAATTTCGTGCGAGTAACTACAAAATTACACGATTTTCTTTTCCCAACCCGATAAAATATGGATTCAAACGTAAAATGTTTTGCTGAGTATCATTGAACCCGTGGAAAATATCGAGGGGTTTACATCGAGGTTTTGTAGGGCTTGAAATTTCCTGGAAAACAGATTTTCACTACAATTTCGCTATCCCCCATGGATCAGCTGATTCACCTCGAAAATTACTCGACCCTAAAGTATTGCGAGTTTATCACCCAATTTCCTTAAAAAAAAAATAAAGCATCAATGTATTTTTTACGAGGACTCTTTAACTCCGATAAATCGTAAAAATCGTTTGTTTACAGTCTCCGAATATCGAATCTCCCGTAGCGATAGCTCCCAATGCGAGGCAATCGTTTGCGGAAAAATCTAAGTAAAAACGGGGTAAAAAAAAAAGGAAAACAACGAGAGGATTCGTCCGGCGCCGGAAAGTTTTCCCCGACGCCTCGAAACTTTGTTTTGCTCTGTTATTCGAATCGCAGTTTGACAATAAAACGGTGAGTATAAAGGAATGGAAAAAAACCCCGCAACTTCTGCTTGGACAGAGATTTTCCTCAAAGACTAGAAGAATTTCCCAATTTTTTTCTTCCTTGAGAAACTTCAAAGCTGTCTCTATCGACTCCGGAATAATATCTCAAATGTACCTGAAGACGCCTGCGACTAGTCGATATACACGAGATAAAAATAAAATGCACACGGAAATTTTTTTTATGCATGAAAACACTTTTTAGGGTGAATTGGAACGAAAATATATTGACAACTGAATTTTTTGGGGCATTACAACAGTCGTTGCGACATGGTTGGCTTTATATTATGTTGACCGCACATTTTCACCCACCCTGAGGGTAAAATGACGAATCTAATTAATTAAATAAACAATAATTCCCCGACTGGTGGTAAAACGGTTGATTCCCTGCCAAATCATTGTATGTTTATCTAATCAATTGATAAATCATGCGAGTAAGAAATACAGTGATATTTACACATAATTATGTCTACAAATTAGTGAGGCTGAGGGAAATATAAATGCAAAGGCCTGGCTGAGGGATTGGATACCGTGGGGTATAAACGTTGTTTGTTGAGTGGACACACGAGTGTTTCAGTTTGTTCTGTGTCACAGGATGACGAGATGGTTAGAGAGGGGTTTTTCATGAAAGGTATTCCATGCCTGTACACACAACTAAATTCAAACAGCCGAAACCAACTCAAAGTGGGGGCGGACGATCAAAGGTTAATGGGGGTTTGTTTCCCAAAATGCTGATCTATTTTTATTTTCACATTTTCAATAGATTTTTCAATAGAAATTTTCCACAGCTGGGTAAATTGAACCAGAAAATCATTAAATCTAGCTACGTGGAATAATGTTAAACGTAAACAAGGGTTTTTTCGAGTGGAGATGGATTGAGGCTCGTAAAAACCCAAGGGTAATGGCTGCTCTCGACTAGTTTATGGATGTAAAACTCGTGATCTTGATGAGATCGCGGGCTGTGGGAGGAATGGAGGCGATAAGAAGTTGAATGATACTTTTGTTAAACTTTTAACATTTTCCGGGGGATTAATTGAATGTTTTGGGTTTTTCAGGGTCTCAAGTGACTCGAATAATTCAAATCAATCTATTATGGATATCTAAGACGGATTGATGCTGGATTCAGTGTAGAAAATGCTTGTCGATTTAAACAAAAAAATTGTTCTTTTTTCTTGTGTGATAGCAGTAGAAAAAGGGGATACGGTCAGACCGTTATTCCTACCTCCAGTGCGGGTGTTTTTGCCTGAAACACAAACGGCAATTCTCAGAGAAACTCCTCGAAAACCCATTCACCCTTTAATCGTTATTCTCGGTATTTCGTTTTTTTTTTTCGTGTTTTTCTCGCTTTTTTTGAACTATCGGGGAGACGGTAACGGAGGAAGCTGAATAATCGTGCAATTTTGTGGAATTTTATGGGGATTATTTATTTTATAATGAGGTGAATCGATAATCAAGCGATCGTTTAGTTGAGAATTGAAAATCGGGAAATAAAATACGAATTGATAAAACATTCGTAAGACTAACGTCGGCTGTTGCTTGCGGCCATTCCAGCTGTCCCGTAATGATTTTTGTGGTTAATTGCAATCTCATTTATTCCATTCGTTGCGTTTTTTCATAAATTCATTTAGATAAATTGAGGCTGGACATTATTTTCCTCTCTGAAGCGCGAATTAAAATTTTCTCCGTTTTAGTTTGGGCTTCGGAGGTTTTTAATTTCAATTCATCCTTACCTGGAGCCTGTAGTTGGGGTCTTGCGTCGCTGCATGTGCGGCTAAAAACGGATCATAGTAGACACTGTGAAAAGAAAAAAAAAAACAAAAAACTCATTAAAATCCAATTGATTTTTCCCATTTATCCAAATTTCCTCCCGACATTACCGCTGAATTAATCAATTTCTCTTGAACTCCACTTATTGAATTTTCACTTGTTTTCACCTTCAATTATCCCGCCCCAAAAAAAAATTGACATATTAGTTTTCAGTGGTTAATAACATCCCAACGTGTGACAATTAGTACAGTGCAATAGATTCCCACGAGACACTAAAAACGTGCAAACGACAGATTGTAAAATAGTTTTGTAATAATAGTGTTTGGATAATTAATGAACTTACGCAGGTGCAAAGGGATGAAGGGCAGTAGCGGCTGCCGCTAGTGGGCCAGGGTTACGGACAAGCGCTAAAGCAGCAGCACCAGTTGGAAATGTTGCCCTCGTGGTAGCACCGACTCTTCCACGTTGAATTGCAACGCCACGAAGTGCAGCGGCTGTAACATCATGCCAAAAAAAAACGGCCTACCTTTGTAAACAATATTCACCATCACCAGGAGATTATTTAAATAATCCGAGGATTCGCTGGACAATCGGCAGCGACAGCAGCAGCAGCAGTAGCAGCAGCAGCAGGGGATCACCAATTTTTTTTTAATGCATTAATTACAGTCAGTCAATTGGTCCAATTGCAAATTGTCATTGGTCCCATTGATTTGACCTATAATTGGAGTAATTATCCAACTATTGACTGATTATTAACTGATAATTAACTGATAGTTAAATAATTAACTCCTAATTAATTGGAGTTATCTTGAATGCAGGTCAACACCTCAATCGCTGGATAATTGGGAAAAATAATCTCGTAAATCAGTGGCTCGAGAGATTGTAGATGTAATCTACCGGTGGAATAAAATCCGCCCTGAAAAGTTGGACTGACAAGTTTGAGGGGCTGAAACACCCACTGGCAAACAGTCACGAATAGTTTCACTAACTTTCCAAGACGATTTTCGAATGGTTTGGGACACAAAGTGCTTTCAACTTTCAAGTACCGACACTGGATACGAATTAGGTGGACAAGAGACAACGAGAAACTCGTGAAAACGTGATGTCGGGATACGACTGTACGAGTTTAAGTCGATTAAGTTTTTTTCTTTTAGTCTTTGGAAATGTCGACGTGCTGATTACTCTACCACGTAGTCATGAGGGATAGATCACCTCTACCTAGATAAATCTATCACTATCAATAATAGGTTATCAGGCTCATTAATTAGCTGCAGTTTATTTTATTTTATTTTAAATAGATAGATCAAGGGTGTGAGATCGATTGGTAGATTTAGTGACACATTTAACTGGCGAGTTGTACCGACACCGCTTACTGGTAGATTTTATTGAAAGAGTCTATTGGTACAGTCATCTTTTAGAGCTCTAATCAAATCAATTAGAGCGTAATTGATGATTCGGTGGGAGATTGAAACGGTAGAGCGAAGTCCTAAATCCTAATAATTCGATTCTCGGTAGATGCGGAACCATCGACATCATCATCTAGAAAAACCGCGGATGATAAACCCTCGATTCTCGTTCAGAAATCAGTGAGGGGTCCCTTTGGATCAAACTACATCAGGCCCATCAAGGCTGGGCCCTTTCGGGCCAAATATCCACCGAAAAAAAAGAAAAAAATTCTCAATTTCCTGAACAACTCATCCAGTGATTCAATAGTAACAGTTTTGAATGGAAAAAAATGGAGAAGAACGAGATACTCCAACAGAAGATACTTGCCCTCTGGGGATCGACGGAGTGATTGCTATATTGAGGTCAGTTTCGAGAATTGTGGGCTGAGGTTCACCAGGGGAGGAGAACCCCAGAGCTACCGGGAGGCACTGAAGTGCTTCAAGAGGACCAGATGCTGTAAGATTCTCATCTGCTTCATTTGTGGATTTGTTCTTCCTACTTTTATTATTTTTATGGTTCTTCTTGTCTCGGGAATCTGACGGCAGGCGTCCCGTCATTGTAATAATTAACATTTTCATATTTTTTTCACCTAATTTGGGACTTTTGGTTGTGGACAACTGGAATTTGTGGCCTACCTTGAATCCAGAGATCTTCCTTGATGTCAAATTATTACAATAACTTTTGACAAATGATAAATATAAGCTTCTAATGACGAAAACAAATAAATTAGTAGTTTTTTTTTTTAAATTTAATCGGGGTCAGACCAAACTGTCAATGCATTATTTTAACAACAGGCTGCATTCAAAATTGAGGCGATCAAATTACCAATGTCTCAGGGAATAAATGTTCAGACTGTGAAAAACGTCATGCTAATGTCCTAAAGCCAGGATTATAAATTCGAAATGGATAATTAAGACACATATAGGTACACCGAGGCGTGCTTGTGTGAGAAAAATTGTTTTTTTTTTTTTCAATTTCTTGGTGATTATCTAGTAGATGCAGAGCAATTTTTCAGTGCGGGACACACGTTAAGAACACGCTAAACATGAAGAGTGTGTTAGAAGGGAGTGTGAATAATCTAAATGTCAATTTTTTTTTATGAAAAAAAAAATGATAAAAAACACAACTGGATGAATTCGGAAGTTCAATTGAATATTTTTCAAGTTCATGACTTGAATGAAATTATTGAGGTAATGAGTGGATCAAAATGGAACTTGTCCACGTGGAGAAATTTTGAAAATGCAAATTTTTTTTTTAGTTTTAGTGATTTCATGAGAATAGGGTACCTCCGTCTCGTCGCTGCCCTTGGGGCGAGGACGAGGGGTGCGGCCTGAGGGGATGGCGTCACTGCGGCTGCTGCTACAGCGGCTGCTGCCGCTGCCGATGGGGTTGCTGCCCCCAGCCAACTCCAGGGCATTGCTGGTAACCTGTATCCTGTCAGAAACCGTTAATTTTTCCCTCAACCCCTTGGAAAAAAAAAAAAAATTACCCCAAAATATTGTCATTCCTCAAATCAATTTGAACGGGCGGTTAGTGGCGATCGAAAATGGCTGAAAGAAAATTATTATTATCTCCAAAAATCATTTTCACGGGGTGACTCTACCCAACTCTACCGGAAATCTACCGAAAAATCTACCGAAAAATCTACCGAAAAATCTATCGGCACTGATTGATTCTAGATCGCGAATCGAAATTGAGATATCACTTCTATTTTTTAACCAAACGGATTTAATGACAATCAACCAAAAATCAACAGATCTACCCCTCATGTTCATTTAATTATACCCAGACGAATGATCGTAATTGGTGAATCTGATTGAAATAGTTGAATGAAATTTACGGCCATCAGATCATTAGCAGATCGTGTTAGATTAACGTAAAAATTAGTAGATGTCAGTATTATCCGGTAGATAATCCGTGGGGCGATGGGAGATGTCGTTTTGATTTCACTTGGAATTATTTATACGCCGTAATTGGATGATAATTAGGTATTTGTGGGTGTCAAAAATGTCACGTTAATACTAATAGTATTTGATGGAGGCTGAACGTCATAATGTCAAGAGGTATCTCACTGATGCTGTGGAGTAATTAATATGATTGAACCGTGGGTGTAGTTTGAGGGTACAGGTGGCATATAGAGGGCCTTCTCTCTTTGTCAGGATGAAGGGGGTTGAAGGGGGATGAGTGGGGATGATGGGGGACGAAGGGGGACGAAGGGGGATGAAGGGGGACGGAGGGAGACGGAGGGGGATCGGAGGGAGGATGAAGGGGTTTGACGTGCTGGGGTCGAGGGTCGAGGCCTGGTGGATACGAAAACCAAGAGGGATGAAGAGACAGGAGGGGGTGGACTGGGAGGAGGAGGGAATTGTGCTGGCAGGGTTGCTCTGAGCGATCAATAAATGCCGCCGCTTCCAACCGCCCCCTGGACCACTCTCATCCCTTCGACTCACACCTTTCAAATTGAAAAAAAACATTGTTTTCAAATTGTTTGCACTTTTATTTTTTCAGTCCAAAGGGGTGGAGTCAGTCTTCCATTTTCCTTATTCTTTTTTTAATTTTTTATATTGACAGCGCGAATTGACAGATGTCAGAATTTATCATTACAATTTCATTCCATTTTTATCGAAATTTTTAGGTGAGATATTCTGACTGGAATTTGAGGTAACGAGGGATAATATTCGTGACGTTATCAGGGAAAAGCCGAATACGTAATTTCCATTGATAAATTAAACGATTTGGCTTATCGGTATCTTGAATAGACGGCGTGGGATGAAATTGGAATGGCGAAAAGGTCACAGTATCACTCGGATCATTGATTCGTTCAGGGATTAATAATTTTCGTGTTCTCTGGCAGCGGTGGTGGGTAAAAAAAAAACATTTCAGAATAAAAAATAGAGTAGACATGGAGTCCCGTGGGAGAGAGTGGAAAATCCTCGGGGAAATGGCGGTCGTAAGGCATCTGTAAAAGCATCGGCACATTGGAAATTCTGAATTGAGTGAGGAGTGAACTAGTAGATAAAAATTGGAGAGATAAAATGAGGAAAAATTGATGGAAAGTAATACTGAGAATTCCCTGGGGGTTTGAGTGAATTTTCCGGTGGAGTTGGGGGGGTTGGTACAGGCAGACGTGCAAGGATATTTGATTCAATGATTTTTTTTTGCTGACACGGCGAAATAATAAAATGGATGATGCAGACTTTTTTCGAATATTTCTGAACCTCGGGCAAAAAGAAAAATTTTTACGACGAAAATTTCACAGCCTTCGAGCTCCAGAAACTTCTCAAAAACCGGATCGCATTCGATCGGCAATATCTCGGAATCGGTTGAGGGAAATTCGACTATCCAGTGTCATCTTTAAGATATTATTTATTATCTTGAAAATGAGACGTCACTCGTTGTAATCGCATCGTGAGATTCGGAGATATTGAAGATTATATTTATTAATTTCACCGCTCGGTTGTTTCCCTCTATAAAAATCTACGATAACAGCTCTGATGGATCTACTGACTCTACCGGGGTAATTCAGAGTAATTCGAGATGATTAAGATAGGAATTGTTTTTACTTCAACGGATGGTTGTTTTCCCAGTGGAACAATAAACCCTGAAATATCCCCATAAACCCGTTAATGATATCAAGTACGTGTCAATTGTGGGAAGGGGTTACTAACCCCCAGGACACGATCCCAGGGTTCACTGGTTATTGTCGAGAGGTCCAGTGTGAGGGGATTGTTGTATCAGGACACAGGGGGTGTCCCTCCTTGTTCCTTCAATGCTCCACATAACACCACAAACAATTCCTCAACAAAAATTCATAAAAGACTTGAATAAAAAGTTAAACCAACTAGTTGTTCGAATATCAAAAGTTCATTATTTTCTTTCATCACTAATGCATTTTATTCTCTGCTCTTGCGGTAACTAATTAACTCTACGCAAAGAAACTGCCAGTACTAAGTAAATAAATTGTTAATGCCAGTCAAATAGAATTTTACGGTTTTCACAATTTTTTCTGTTTTTATTTTTCATGCGAAACAAAATTTTCCATTTTCCAGTTGAATTTTTGCAATGATCATTTGGTAATCTACCGAATTGAAAATCTACCGATAATGCAAATCTATTATGTAGAAGAATAAATATATTTTTGTAGATCTTATAGAGTTCCACCTTTTTTCGTTTAAAAGGGGAGATAAAGAAAATTGTGAAGGCACAGTAAAAATCATTGAATTAATTAGTTACCACTAATGAAAAATGCGGCAATGTATTTTATTGATGTTTTATCTGTCATGCAGCAACCCTTCTGCCCGGGCCATTTCTTTCGCCAACTAACACACCGTGCCACGATCAATTAAACATTAAATTCAATGAAAAATTAACATCTCCCAAGAATCCCAATCATAATCGACAAAAAAAAAAGAAGAAAATCCCAGGAGAATCATCTCCATGAAAACAAAGGAAAAAACAAAAATATATATCATATATATAAACGCTAATAAATCGAGATATATATGTATAATGTATATATAATATATTCACAGGTGAATCTCATATGAAGGCAAGCCAAGGCCACGACATGAGACGTGCAAATTAAATAAAATAGGTAATAATTATTGGTAAAATATGAAATTAAAATAAAGCAATTGAGAATAAAAAATAAATAAATAAAAACAATTCTCTCCCAAAACCGCGTATATTTCCAACCACAACCAAGCACACCCACAGGCAAGGTACGGGCCTTTGTCAACGAGACAGTCATCAACCAGTGAATGTGGCGCATTACCGTGATTATTATTTAATAGTTAAACAAATAATAATTAAAATCAAATTGAAAATACAATTCGCTAGTCAAGAGGAACACCAGCGCACTTTGAATGAAAATTTGTCTCTCGCCTTATCATGCGAAATTGATAATGAATTTAATGAGCTCCTTCGACTATTGAATTATTTTTCAAATGATAAAAAAAAAATTAACTAAAGAATCACCAAATGATAAAAAAAAAAGTGAAATATATAGTAACAAGTGTTCAATCAATCTCAAGTCAAATTCAATCCAATAAATGGCGTGATTCAATATTAACAGTAGTTGCAGTCAATAAAATGCCAATCGGAATATTAATCGGATGATCGGGGGGGTCTCCAGGACAGCGTGTGATAATTACGGTGGAATAAATAACAAAAATATGGATTATGAAAACGTTGAGAAAAAACAGATCAGACAATTGTTTTTATGGCGATTTTTTAAAATATGATTGAGGGGATAAATGTGGGAGATTGAAAGGGTTTTTCCGATCTAGTCGCAATGGGAATGGTAAATAATAACGGTAAGTATTGAATTACGGAATGAATTAATTGTACGATAAAATACCTCATGCGTTACCACTGGATAGAGAGCCCTAGGCTAGCTACTTAGGCGAAAATGTCTTTTTTTTTTCAATTTTTTTTTTTGTTTAATATTTTGACGAGTTTTGATAATAAAAGCTAGTGAAAAACGGCGCAGCCAGATTTTTTTTTACTTCTCCTTCTGATGAATTTCTTGAGCCTTTTTTCACCTACTGTGTCTTTTGGGGTGGGGGGAGAGCTTGATATCTATCATGGTGGGTGCCATGAAAAATCTACCATAACACCTCCAGACCCTCTGCCAGATCTACCGATTCTACCAGTAATTAAATCTACCGGTGACAACAGATCAAATAGTTCCCACTGTCTTTTTTCCATTTTTCTTTCTCGAAATGCAGGTACAATTGGTAGAGTTGACAGATAAATTTCACATATTAGTAGATTTAATCTACCACAATTAATACCGGTAGATTCATTCCAGGTAGATGTGTTTATCCATAATTTTATGGAGTGTGAGATATGTCATGATTCCGTCTGATTATTTAAAAATTGGTAGATGTTAAATTGTCGGTGGTAGATAATCGTAGATTTAACGTGGCATTCGGTAGATGAGACGTTGAAAGAGATATAGAATATGACACCCGTGAGGCTAGAGAGGAGTTGTTTAACATTCACTTTACTCGTCCAAGGAGCAAGTAGTGACTTGAAAAAAAAATGGAAAAAATGATACAAATAAAGACTTGAGACTCATATGCGCTGGATAACACTGAGAAATAACGCAATCCCTTTTGCAAGTGATGCTCCTGGGGGTTTGGCAAAAGCCCCCGTGTCGTTTCTACTCGTTTTCCATCCAAGAGAACCGCTTCCTTCCCCTTTTTTTCTTGACACTGTACCCACTTTCACGTGGCATCCACTGAGTCTTTCGTTTCAATTTCGTGTCTCTCTTTAGCCTTTTTTTTTTTCTCTCCACTCTCTCCATTCGTCTCGTGCACTTCCAGCCCCTCCCAGCCACCCACCCACCCTCAATCCCTTTTTGCCTTTTCTCGAGGGTACAGTAAAGTCACTGCAGTTCTACGTGTCTCTTATACTGCCGCAGGAAAAACTACATTTTCTCCTTTTTTTTTTCCATCTCAATTTTATTTTTTTCTCATCCTCTCTTTACGATGTTGTTTTTTCGACTTTTTGCAAGTTGGGTCGTTGACGTATCCCATGAGAAATAGACGGTGAATAAGGGGAGTGATAGATCTGTGCAACTGGAGGTAAGACACAGTGGGCGAAAGGCTGAAGAAAATGTTTTCCCTCGGTTTTTCATTGATCTTAACAAAGTATTGGTGTGTGGATTGAGTTGACGGGTGCACTATTTCGGTAGAGATATCCGGATTGAGATGAAAGTACGAGAATTTTGGGATGAATGTATTGAGTTCTAAATGGAAATTCCATTTTTCCATCCTTCTTGGACCAGAATAAAATCTATGAGTGAAAAACTCAACGTACCATTAATTTTGCTACTGGTAGATGCGATCTACCGGCGAAAAACGATCGACAAAATCTACCAAATCTATTTGCTGTGGTAACTTTAATTTTTTATTGTGACAAATGGCATCTATAGATTTGGTGGTAGATTATTCCTCAGTCGACTCGTTGCGGTAGAGTTGATATGTAAATTATTTCAGTGGATATATTCACTGGACTTTGATAAGATCAATAATAATCGAGTGTGAAAATAATAAAAAATAAATAAAAAATATATAAAGTGGAGATGCATTCAGCAGAGTCCTCAGGTGTCAACACACGAACACTGATTTGACGATGCAATTGCATGCTATTGTTTTTAGTAATTTTAACAATCGTTTTAGTTATCAAATTATCTACTATTTTGTCTCATTCTTGAAATTTTGATATTTAAATGATCCATGCCAGTTGTTCTTTTAAAATGCAGGATCTCTTTATTTCTCTTGTATAAATTCACTGTATAAAGATTATTAATTTGATTAATTAAAGATCTCTGATGATTTTTTTTAAGTTCCATTGATAAAATCACTTTTTACTTTTACTCTCTTTTATTGTGTCTCTGTTATCACTTCTCTTTCACTCCGTTTCGTTATCCCGTTCGATATTTTACGTCCACCATATTTTTTAGCTTTTTCATTAGATTCTTTTTTTTTTTTGTTGGTTTTAATGAAAAGAGGCTTTTGATGTTTACGCTGAACTCAAAAGCCTCTGTATTTTCCACATGATAAATTCCCATATTTTTATTTCTCTCAGTTATGCGTTTATTGTACTCCCCTTTTACTGTTTCTTGCAGTGAAAAATCGGATTTCATGGGGATAAAGAAAATATCCAGTATCACGTGTTCCTGAGTGATTGGAGTATTAGGCACTTCCTCTGTTTCAAAAACACCCAATCATGATTAAATGATCTTCTCCGGAATGTTCCGCGTTCCAAAAAAATCTAGCAAAAATATCGTACAGACTTTTGAGACTCATTTTTCATTTTATATTTATAGAGTCCAATAAAATTCCTCAGTCTCAAAAAAAAAAACTCATATCAAAATTAAAATAAGGATTTTGCGCACAAATTTCCGACAAGACGGAATTATAATAATTGAAATTTGATTAAGAAAAAAGAAAGTTATTTAAAATTACAAATTATAGAAAAATCAGAGAACCTTGAGAATAAAAAGAATTCAGAGGAAGTACCTTTCCTCCCTCAATTACAGTAGAATCCCGTTATAATCGCACCTCTCCTCAATTTCGCTTTTCGCGTATATTTCATTTCTCCGATTCTACTACCCCCCGGTTACAAGATGTAAACAATCCATTGTTCCATCCAGTGAGGAATTGAATTCCGGGTAAAATATTCGAATTTGCTGTGAAAAAAAATCGGTTGACAGTCACTCACGGTGAGAAAAATTCAATAAAAATCACGGCCTTTTTCACTGAACATTCAGGAAAATGTATGAAACGTTCAGTAGAAAAGTGCGTAACATTTTTAAAGTAACGATAAATTTTATTCGTAACGAATTTTTCTCTAGGTGTCTCTTGTCAAGTTATCCGAATTGTCTTCCTTTACAGCCCCATGCACGCGACTATAACGGAAGTTTACTGTACTCATTCCTCGATTAATCCTACGGGAGTGTAAAGAATCCCATCCTATTCTAATGACTTATCACTAATTTTTTATCACTACAGTATACCCTGTTTTCGTTACTGAGTCTTCTTATCATCACGAGATAATTTTTCTTTTCTCCACGTAAAGCGTCACGCAATTCAACGGAATACGGAAAAAGTTGGATTTATCACGATTATTATTGGCCAACTCTTCCAATATTTCCAACAATTCACGGATGCTGTAAAAAAGCTTTTTCTTTTGGAATGTTATTTGTCGTTTTGAGTCGTTAAAGTACGTGTTTAAATTTAAAAACTGCCGGAGTTAACGTTCAACGCCTGTTTGCGCCGACAGCACTAAAACCCTGTAATCGTTTATTTTTTCAATTTTTTCTTTTGCCAGTAAAATGTAGAGAGTAATCGTTGACGGCGCTTTGGCCATTTTCCCGACAATCTCGTAATTTTTTCAAAGAGGAAGGGCCGGATAAAAATGATTCTAGGAAAGACCTGGGATTAGTGAAAATGACGTCCGCGTCATCAAGATTTTTCTCGGCTTGTGTCTAGGAATTTTTTGACCTCAAGTTGTCGGCCTAGCACTGACCGAAGCATCGGGTCATCGGAGATGGAAATTGAACAATTGATTTTGGGCTATAACTGCGGGTTAAGGGGTGGGAGGGAGTGATAAACGATGCGGGGAAATATTTTGGCTATTGACGAGTTTTGGAATTAAATAAAGTTGACCCACCTTGGCTGCAGGGAGGATCGTCGTGGCATTATTAATATCACGCCGATGATCTCACCCAGGTCAGTGTTAGACCGGTACACGCATCCACATACATGTCAATCGACGAATGACAGAAATCAAAGTCAATGATTTCACAATTATTTCTCAATTAATTTCACGATCATATCAACCAGTCGACACGTTTCAACGGATACCTCTGTATCTGTGGGTGATAGAGAAAATGTTATTGGAAATTTTTTGTAGCTCTGGAAATTCTCTGTAAAAAAGGTTCAGCAACATTTTTTTAATCTCCCATAGATTCAGAGATATTCAGCAGAAATATTGGTTGAGACGAATTCAATATTTTTTCCATGATTGCATCTCTAGATATTTGAGATTAAAATTCTAAAATGGTATAAGCGGAAATTCTGAATCTCGACTTCTGTCATTCGTTATTTCATTAAAAAATTTATCTTTAATATCAATTGAAAAATAGATTTGTCTCTGACGTATTAATGGCTTGGTCGTGGTGTGGCGGATCTGGGTACCTCAACTATAAAAAAATCTCCGTGTATTCATCACTAGAGTTGAGAAAATGACTCGTTAAATTTGCTCTCGCATTATTTTTAGACTTTTCTCAATCGTTTGCAACGTTTCTGGCTGATTCTGACCGGTGAACTTGTAGTTCGATGCACCCTCAGTCAAAAGAATTCGTACGAACAAAATATAGAAAACGAAAGAGAGAAAAAAAATTTTGATTGAAAAAAAAAAAATATATAGTCTTGCGTGTCTCAATAGTCGATTTGGCACTTGCACTTCAGGAGAATCCCTGGCAATTTTCACGGATTTCGGTGTAAAGAGTGAGGAGAGCTTCCTCTGGTACGTCGTGGATGCACCTACCCTCTGGCCACTGGACACAAACTGAAAAATCAAACAAAATAATAACAATTAATTCATATTCATTATTTCATCCAGTTATTCTTTGGACAAAAGAAAAGTCTGAAATTTTTCCCATTCTCCACGAACAGGTGAATATTTCAGGAGACAATAAAAAAAGGTCACACAGACATTTTACATCTAATGAATTAATTCTCTGAAGCAGTATTTTCATAGGTAATTCTCTTGTCCCATGATTTTCAAATGAAAAGACAATGTTTCCAATGAAAATAGTTGCTCAAAGATGCACTTCCCCTTCATTACGGAGTGGTAAGCCCGTCCATTGTTATTTCCCCGTTGGGAATTAAACTTTCCATCTTCCCTCAGTAAATTTTTCTTCTTCTTCTTCCACTTTTCTCCTCACAATTAATTCGATGCCCTTTTAAATGTCTCCCCAGCGAATTGCCACGGGGCATTCGTGAATATTTCACGAGTGAACTAATGAGAAATTCCAGATCTTCTTATATTTATCCCTGAATACCGTTCAAGCTATCGATCTATCAATAATGATTGCTTCCCGGCTTCCCCATATGTCATGGCGTACCTCATATCAAACCGTACTACAGCCTCATCGCATTCTACGGGTTATAGACGACATAGTTTCGAGCCAATTTAACTGGGTAATCGTCCACGTAATGGGGCAGAAGCCAATTGCAGCTCAATTTAATTTATTATTAATTAATCCTAGGATTTTTGGTAATTACCTTGAACCATTCTCTTTTGCTCATATTTCAAGAACTTCATTTCAGAAATATATTCCTCATAAGAATAAATTATTTAAACAAGAAATAATGAAAAATGTGAGCTCATAAAAATTTACAAGAGAATAAATCGTCTCTGGAATTCGCAATATGGTGCATCAAAAATAATTCTGCTCTTTCGATAATCTGGAGAGATTTCTCCTAGATTTGCCCCGGTTTTGAAATTTTCATGACGCCTCGTGGATCAATATAAAGAGTTTATTTAAGCCAGCCACTCAGTCCCGAATGAAAGCACGAAAAAATTTGGGGAAAAACTGAGACGACTCGACGTCGTGGAAAATTAATCACCCGGTGTCACCTTGGAGATGTATATATAGGCTTCTAGTTTCCTCTCGGGTCCTCGGAGGGAATGGGGCGGGGATTCACCCGAAGTAGAAGTGACAAACTTCTTTATTTTTTTTGGAGCTTTAATTCTTCCATTTTCCGTGACGACTGAATTGCCAACAAAAGCTTCTCCCATCAACTCAAAATGTTGTACCACTCCCTCAGAGATGATTCAACGAGGGAAATACTGAGAGTTGAATCAACTTGAGTACTCAGAGGATATCCTTGGGAAATTTTTCATTTTCACCACGAAAAAAAAAGACAATTTCCAATTACTCGTCGCTCAAAATTAATTATCTCGGTAATCGTTGAGCTCTCCCAGAATTCAGAACCGCTCTAAGTTAATTATCTCCGTAGCCACTTGTTCCAGAAGAAAATGTCATAAAATGTAATTTGTAGATTTCGAGACCATCTGCAAATAATTCTTCAGACATTTTCCGATAGCGCCTCGCGTTTCGGAGATAATAACATGATTACCAACAGTGCAAATCAAATTGAACCGAAAAACCGGTGAAATATAAACTTTAAGTTCTCTCCAGCTGTCTCCATTCACGAAACAACTTCCGGAAAACACGGAGACTCCTTCAAGATTTATTCCCCCGGATTTGAAAACTCACCAACAAATTTTCGTGGTCGAAACTCCGACGGGTCGAGTGTTTCACGGATGGAGTAGCATTGGAAATTCAAAAAACTTTATTCTGCGTGAATTTAACCAGGAGACAGGAAGAAAGGATAAAATATTATAATTTCCCCCCCGAGAAATACAAGAAATAGAAGCTTTATTTACGGTCTTTCACGAGAGGCCCATTAATGAGTTCCACCGTTGCATTAATTATTTATACTCGGCTGGAAGAGGCAACGATCCGCGGTAAAAAAATAAAGAATAAAGAGAAAAAAATAATAATACAAAGCATTCACTAACGAGCTTTTCCATCGGGGTAGAAAAAATAATAATCAACTGTGGAATTGAGAATCCACTGGATTTTTCTTTCGGTGGGTTATCAATCAAAACTTTTGAGTGAAGCTTTTTCCAAGGGGGTCCCCTGGAAAATTTTTCCAATAGCGCTCTCCAACTTTATGAAATCAATGTTTTACTGGCGATGTATCCTTTTCAACTAAACTTTCAAGTGAATCGTCGAGGATAGGAGACCGGGGAAATGAAAAATCGAGAGCTCCGGGAGTTTCTAACGAGTCTAATAACGAGATAGAGAAGAATTTAGAGGATTTTTGGGAAAAAAAAAAACTTGTTGGAGATCCGACTTTTGTAAAGTCTCTTGAGACTCGTTTTTCAACTGACGGAGAGTCTGACGGTCTGACGTATGTTTGAAACCTCACATGTTTGAAAAATACATTTACAATTTTGTATGTAATAATTGTAAGTAATAATCCCCTTGAGCAGAAAACGTTAAGTCAGCAGGGGATGAAAAACCATTTTTAACCCATATTTTTTTTTTCTTCTACACCCACTATATTTTTTTACTCGCGTGTGGGGAGGAACGATAAAGTTTGTCCGCGTTCGAACGACACCTCGTTTGTCAACATCTCGCTGGGATCCTTTTACGAGAAATTCTGCTACACTTTTTTCTCTCATTCTATCTAACACACTCGTTTCAGTTGAACGTTTTACGAGAATCGCTCTCTGTATTCTACAAAATGTTAAATATGCTGAGTGAAAATGTTTCATGTACCCACCCACCGACACTCCGTATCATTCGAGACAATTGGAACTCCTCAATTGAAGGGTAAAGTGAAAAAATAAAATTCCATTGTATTTTCTCTCAAAAACTGCTCCTTTCGCTTCGAGTCATTGAATTAATTCGGATAATTAGGTAATGAGGTTAAAATTTATTTACGATTTACAATTAATTCGGAAATTAATTCCCGAGTGGCAAGTGAAATTCATTTAGCAATAGAAGTTGATCGGTTTAGGAACGGTTATTGATTAATCATTAATTAAATCTCAGAAGATCGAGTTTTTTGGAATTTGAAACATTTCGAAAATGGTCATTCACCCGTTTAAAAAAAATGTGAATTCTCGAGTGGATTAATGATAAACGAATGTCGTAAGGGAAAAGAAAAGAGAGAGTTAATCGATAATGACCCTGGCAGCATCTCCTCGAGTGTTGAAGAAAAAAGCCCTCATGAAAGAGGACACCCAGAGGAGCTGTAAGATAGGGATGTCCGCCTCGGGGAAAGACCGGGTGGTACATCTTGAAAAATTTATCGCAACCTCTCCATTTTTATTCCCCTCACGGTATATATTTCATTGGCCAACTCCTCGGTAGAAATATTTTTGCTTTTACAGTGGAGTGTATCCGTAGTTGGTCAGACGATGGGGTTATGGAGTGTGTCACGTACCAAAGAACGCAATTTTCCTGTTACTGTACACGAGACACTCCCCGGTGATCTTTCATATTTTTACCTCTCGTGTATTTCACTGTGTGCCAGACTCGCCGTCGAGTTGAAAAAGGGATATATCGACGGTGAAACATTGATTTCAGAAAACTACAACGGAAGTTGCACTGTAATAAATCGTCGGTTTGTATTTTACGTCCATTAGTCATTTTAAACTATTCCTATTTCCACTGGCCATCGGTGCAAATGTCTGCAAATGGCTCAATAATAATAATAACGTATCAATATTATTTTCGGAGTTCTCTCTACAATGGTTTTGTTTTTTTTTTCGTTTAGCTCAAGGGACTCGGGATTTTAAGAAAAATTCGATCATCTCGGTTCCTAATATTATAGGGGTCTTGTGCCTCTCTCACAACCCATTTAACCCCGTAGCTCATATTTTTTATATTTTATACTTTATTATGAAAATATGTTAATTAATAAAATGACAATTATCTCGATTATTTTAGTTTAATTATGTTACGATAGATTTTTACCTAGTGAATAATAATTCCACTAACACATCAACCAAAAAAATTTCCCAGTCAAATGACGGGTTATTATTCCCCAAAGTGTTATCTATCTAGTCATTGTTCAATATCTCTGCCTCAGAGCCAAAAAATTGAGGGGAAATCTAGCGGAAATAACCAGCAAAATGTTTCCCAAGTGCAATTCCCTTTCGCAAAAAACAAAATAATAAATAATAATTTCACTAACATGTTAATCCAAAGCCAGGAAGTGATGGTAATTCGTACACCAAAGTTGGCAATGTTATACGAGGCATTAAATTTGCATTGTGTTATGTATGCGGGGTAAACTCCTGGGGGTGGAGGTGAGTTGAAAAGCGGGCGGTGGTAGTGGGTGGGAGTGGGTGGGAGTTTGGAGTTATAGATGAGAGGGATTTTGATGGATGCACCAGTTTAACGGTCAACGGGGTGAGTCGATCGGTGAGAATGCGGTCGTATGAATTTGGTTATAATTAGAGACTAGAAGGCCTGTGTCGACTGTATCAGGGATTTACTGTTGTGTGAGAGCCAAGAGGAGAATTTGCTCGTTATACCTCTGAGGCGTGAGTTTTCATTGGGGAGTTGATATTAGGATGGCAATGGGCTTTTGCCGTTGGGAAATGTTTGGCAGAGGCTATCGTCATTGTCACACCATTCACCCATGATATTTATAACCCCAGGTGTCAATTAAATATCGTCCGTCATTCTAATTGAGAAATATATCACAAGTTTTTATGTACGAACTCGCGGATTCAATCTCGCGGTATTTATAGCCCCTTCCATTTCCGCTTAATTTTTTTGGGGGGAGCGG